AAGGGAAAAGCAAGATTCTCCGTTGCAACACAGCATGCAACAATCCAATCACAATTGACGGAGAAGCTTTGGAAGATGTAAAAGCCTTTACATATTTGGGCAGTATCATTGATGAACACGGTGGATCTGATACAGATGTGAAGACACGGATCGGCAAAGCAAGAACAGCATATTTACAAGTGAAGAACATCCGAAACTCAAAACAATTGTCAACCAACACCAAGGTCAGAATTTTCAATACAAATGTCAAGACAGTTCTACTGTATGGGGCCGAAACCTGGAAAATTGAGAAATCCATCATCCAGAAGATACGGGTGTTTATTAACAGTTTTCTACGCAAAATACTTCGGATCCATTGGCCGGACACTATAAGCAACAACCTATTGTGGGAGCAAAACAAATCAGATCCCAGTGGAGGAAGAAATCAGGAAGAAGCGCTGGAAGTGGATAGGACACACATTGAGGAAAGCACCGAACTGCGTCACAAGACAAGCCCTCACATGGAATCCTCAAAGTCAAAGGAGGAGAGGAAGACCAAAGAACACATTGCGCCGAGAAATGGAGATAGACATGAGAAAAATGAACAAGAATTGGATGGAACTAGAAAAGAAGGCTCGTGATAGAGAATGCTGGTGGGCGGCCTATGTTCCATTAGGAGTAACAGGCGTAAGTAAGTTTTTTCGTCCTAAAGTTGAGTATTGCAGTACGCGAACATTCTTCAAAAGGTCACAAACCCAGAACAACTGACTATCGACGTTCCCATCGAATCATCAATGAATGAAATTCATTACCTTATCACATTGAACGTGAGCGCTGACTTGGTGTACCGGAAACTGCAGCGCCTAAGAAAAAACACTTCTGCTGGCCCGGATATGGTTCATTCTGCTATACTGAGGGAAGCAGCTTCAATCCTGGCAACACCACTTAGCGTGATGTTCTTACACTCACTAAGCCGAGGCAAACTACCAGAAATTTGGCAGCTGGCTCACATCACACCAGTTTTCAAAGAAGGTCGATGAGGCGAAACATCAAGCTACTGAATACTGGCCCTTCTCTCTATACTTTAAAAAGTTATGGAGTTTCTTATATGCGACGGTATATATGACTATTTATTATCCTTGGACTTCTTTTCACCCCAACAGCATGGCTCAGAAAAGGTCACTCTTGTATAACCGAATTGGTGATTGCGGTGGACAGATGGATAATCATTCTTGATCGCAAAGGGAAGTTTGACATCATTTACCTTGACTTCTCAAAACTTTTTGATAGGACCAACCATATATGTCTTGTCAATAAGCTCAAACGACTGGGTATTAAATCACCTCAAATTGACTGGCTCACTTCATATCTAAGAAATCCACGTTTTAAGATCAGGGTTAATTTCACCTTCTCTCAGGTTATGGAATGTCCTAGTGAGGTCCCCCAGGGATCAGTAATACGACCTCTTTTTTTCTTGATTTATATAGACGATCCTCCACAACCGCTAACGTCAGACTTATTGCTTTGTGCTGATGATGTGAAACTTTGGAGAGAGATACGCAACGAAGAAGATATACAGGCACTTCAGGAGGATCTGACTAGACTTCAAAGTTGGGCAGATGACAATAGACTTACCTTTAACACTTCAAAGTGTAAAGTAGTCCATCTAAGACATGTTGCAGACTACAGTTACAACTAAGGAAACTCCTCTCTAGTAGTAACCCGAGTTGAAAAAAAATTTAGGAGTTCTGGTACCCTATGACTTGAAGTCTTACGCTAACTGTGACAAAGATGCCTTCTGAGAAAACCTTGCACTGGTAACATTGAAGCGCGTTTCTGGTCAGTTTGACGGTAGACATTTCCATATAATCTTCAACAGTTTTATTCGTCCCCATTTAGAATATGGAAACATAGTATTTCCTACTTCACTCCAAAAGGATAATGAAACTCTGGAGCGTATTCAACGGCGAGACACGAAACCAGTTCGGGGACTCAAACTTAAACCTTGCGAAGAGCGCCTCCAATCACTTGACCTTTACCCATTAGAGTGTAGGCGTCTTAGAGGTGACCTTCTAATGGCTTACAGTATCCTTAACACTTCTAGACATCCCCTTAAACACCTACTTAAGTTTAGCTCCAAAACAAACCTAAGGGGTAACTCCCAGAAATTGGAGACTTAACACAGCAGAACGGACTGTAGGCACAACGTCTTCTCCTTAAGAGTTGTCAAATGCTGGAATTCGCTGTCGGCTGAGCTAGTCCAAGCAACTTCCCAGGAGTCCTTTAAGAGGCGACTTGATCTATTCTTAAGGACTAAGGATAGTATCTTACTGTGATTTACCAATTTCTTTTCTCTTTTATCGTTAATATGCCTAGGTTCCTGCCTGGAGGTATCGGTGATTCCCTACTACTAGACACGGAAGCCTGTTAAGCGAAAGCTTCTTCTATTCCGTCCACAACTATTTGAACATAAATGATGATCCATCTGTCAACGCTTTCAAAAGACAGTTAGATCAACCGAGAGACCACTATTACCAAGACTAACTCACGTAATCCAGCCTCTAGTCTTTTCCAATCTGAAACTGATTGGACAGTTTGTCCCGCTATGTATAATAAGTGCGTAACATTGTGAGCTAACGAGTGCTCAGTGCGGGTGCGTCTGTTTGTCTACAAATTTATTAAACCTTTGACGTCAGTTTGGCCATTCAACTTACTGTCTAAAATTGTTGTTTATTTTTACTAGTACGTTAACATGAAACATTTATGCGAATGAATTACGACTAGCTAGTCGTAATGGACTAGTTTAATTAGGATGCTGACACATTTAGATGTTATTAAATGTCACGAGGACGTTCTAATGAACACCGTTGAAATATATTGTCAACAATTGAGTTATTCTAAGCTCATCGAAATCAGTGGGGTCAAAATTCGTAAGCATTCAAATGCACTTACTGTGGTTATGACTCTCAATAATAATTTATAATTTTATTGCAGATTCAGTCCATTCATTCTTGTCTTACAATCAGTCGGAGCTTTTTGAAAGACGCGCAACTAACAGAAAGTTATTCTAAAACGGCGTTGAAAATACGCAGTAGATCAACGAATATTTCCACCCTTGAAGAAGTCTTGCATGTGATTCATCACAAATTAGTTAATATTTTTTACTTTCTATATAAAATCCGACAACCTGACGTCTGTCAAAGCTGTTATTGTGTTTTACTTGACTGTTCTTTTGGTAGTGAATAACTATAGCCTTACATGTTCAACTCTTAACAATGGGTGGTCAGGGTATTCATTGCCACGCTAACTTAAGGAAGGACTTCATTTGTCATTCCAAGCGTATAAAGTCCTCCCTTAGAGCGACTTTTTTGTAAGTATATGCGGTGGCTAGAAATGGTCCAGTAACTTTGAAGAAGTTGCAGACTTTAAAAGTTCAGCCCACGTTTTCTAAACGTTCATCAAATTTCCATGGTTCAGATGCAATCCGAAACTACAGACGCGTTTATTTATTTTTTGGTGATTTACTTATGTTGCAAGGTCATCATCTACAACATCAAAAGTCATACACTGTCATGCCCACCTCCACACTGTTAATGGTTTTTAACAACCGTACGTGGTATTTATCCTTTATTTCTTCCAAAATGTGAAGATTTCCGAGGGACTGTAGATGTACCAACAAGTTTTGTAAATTATGAATATAGTCTTCGTACAGCTACGTTTTATAAGATGAGTTATTTAATTATGGAGCTTCTATTGTCTTTCTAGACGAAATCAACATGAACTTCATATAGAAGTGAGATACTGGAATATCTTCGCAAGTGATTAAGGATGAGAATATGTACCAGTCAGTAGACGCAAATCAAATTTTTAAAAAAATGCGATAATCAGATCATTAGTACTTTAAAAATACTAATCGAAGTAGAACAGATACCAAAACAAAACCAGTAACAAGTGAGAAACAGTGGACTTCTATGGTAGGTTGAAACTGCGTAGACACTAAATCTGTCAATAAGAAATTAAAATCTCAACCTGTGGTACATTTATGCGATCAGTTTACTAAACCTTCCATATAATCTACGGATATGGTTAAAGACATTCAAATCAACTGCAAGAAGTTGATGGTATCCTTTGGCGGCACAGTCTTATTTGCTTCAGTTAAAGCAGGGGTAGTAAGAGATATTTTATTCTTGCTCCTCATCAGCAATACAGATCTTTCTAAATACAAAAGGTTGAAAATCATGGTTCCGTTAAACTCACCGATTTATGTCTAGCAGTATATTTGAAATTCAACATTATGATAAATAAAGGCACATAACTGTAACTGGTCAATTTGGTTTAAAATTCCCTTAACAAGCAATAGAGAAACATAAGATCACAACCTCATTTTTCAAGAACTATCATAGACAAATAGATTTATGGTGAAATATACAAATAGCTTTTGTGATTATTGATTAGCAAACAGTGGAAAAAGCAATTTTATTAAGTATAAATTTATGGAAGAACTAGCATATAAAATAAACGTTGAGGGTTCAGAAAACAAAGAAAGTCGTTCATATACAGAAAATATGTAGAAAACATTTTATATATGTTAGTATTTATGAGGACCAATTTATAATGTAAAAATGTCTTTTAATTAAGAAAAAGAAGTGTATTTTATTGTTTAGATAAGGTAGCGGTAAAACGAAGTTTATGCAAAATAAATGGTGTATTAAGGTAGTACATACTTAACAATCTGACCGCACACATGCTTGTTAGAGGACTTGTGTATGAAAATCAAAGGTCGATCCCTCCCAGTTGACCTTCATTTTTTCATATATAAATTTCGTAACAAATGAATATGTGGTCAGACTTTTCAAAATGTATTGTGCTAATATATTTCATAACTTTGACAAAGTGGTTTTATTGCATCATCTAAATTTATCAGGACTAGTTGTTTTAAATTTCAATGTTTGGTTATTTCCATAACGTTTCTGTGTTACATTTCTTTTTCAGATTCTAATACTTTTACGAACATAACCTAGATGCGTTCAGTACCTTTACGATCCTTCAATGACTTTTTAGGCTTTGGCGCTCGATACAGTATACCCAAAGAATGTAAATGGAATGGACGAATGGTTTCAAATCTAATTTATTATCAGTCGAATTACTTTTTTTTAAGCTTCATTATAATGATATTACTCAGGTAATACATGATTAAGTTTATAAAATGTTTTTTATAGCGCACTTAATCCCATTCCCGTTTTAACAGGACTTCTTGTGATATGCTTACCTTTGATGATTCTCCTATTTTTAGATACACAAACCCTTAACACTATTAACCAACCAAAGATACTTGTACCTGTATGTATTGTCATTGCCATGTTACTGATTCGTTTCATATCTGGAATCATCCTCTTCTTTTGTGTTCTACTTGTTCCAGTACTAAGTAAGTTTCAATGTAAAATAATTATAATGATTAAAATCAGCTGTATGCCTTCATGCCCTCTGTAGACAACGTAATTTAAAGAACAGAGTTTGTAAACTTGTGGAATCAGTTCGCTCTGGAGAACAAAAAACACTAATGGGATATATACTGGAAGTATTTGGTGTAGATGTACGACTGCTTACTATTGATAATTAATTGAAGATCATCTTGATTGAAAAAGATGCATCTTTTCATTGAACAACTCATTTCGTATTGTCTCGTTCTCATTACTGTTGCTTTCCTCATAAATGAAATGCTTCTGTTGTTCCCGTGAACTTTAGATTTATTTATTGCATGCATACTTCACCAAATAAGTTCTAACTCGTCTCAGAAATAGGTTGATTGTAACCGTTATTTCTTCTACGTATATACAGACTGGAACTCATTAAGTCGTATCCTAGTCTAAGAGCACTGTATTCAGTCGCGTGATTTCAAGTCATCAGAATTAGGGACTGGGAAAACATTAATGTGTAACTGGATACTTAATTTTCATTCACTTGTGCAAATGATATTTACTCGATAAAAGGTTGCAGACATCTGATTGTATAGTGTGTTAGAAAGACTGTATATTCGTAATTCATTGCAGCTATATAGAGAAGAAAATAAGCATAGACAGAAGTGGTCGGTAACCTAACTTTAATCATGAATGCTACACGGATGGGACTGTTCTGTCTCTAACATCCTACGTTGATCTTTTTGTGGTCGCTCTGCACCAGTCAATAATTCTGGGTTAAAAAAATCAAGGAAAGCAGAGAGGTGATTACTCGTAGTTTATTCATGACAAAGTCGAATAAAAACAGGAATAGTGGACAACTCTGAACAATTCTAACTGGAGTAACAAACGCAGATGTTAATTTGCCGCAAGGAAATCTGACCATGAGTATCCGAATAAGAAGCTTCCGTTTACGGCCCCTTGAACACTATATTATTACAGGGGGTCTCAATTAGTAACTTCCCGTATCGCCTTCAGATCAAGAAACAGCTAGAATCTGCAGTCCCAAAGTACTCATATGGTCCATACTCTGCTCAGTGCTAGCAAATACGACGAAAATACCTCATATTTCTGAGCTTCGGTTAAGTATTATGCTAATACGTTATCTAGAATTTTAGATGATTAACATTTTGTTATTGTAATGAGACTATGATTCTTTCTTGTCAACCGGAACTAATAGCGACTGACTGACTAGATGAGCTTACCGTGAATTTACAAAAAAAGTCAGTTTTATTAACAACTTCAAACTGTCTTTTTTCAAAATCCTTTGGAGTTAGCCCGTCAAGTTCTACTACTCTACCTCTCCTTAAGATCCAAGTCTTGAGTTTAGAGGGAAGTCTGCAAACACCTAGCCGAGCCCGTCGGCACAACATCTACCTCAAACACTCGGCTTACATAAACGATTTACCAGACCACAAATCATACCAAATAAAAAAGCATACTTTAGACAGAGTTATGTTATAAGTGACAGAAAGCGGAGCAAAAAGTGTATAGTTAATTAGCAGTAATTGAGGGACAGTGAAAGGCATAATAGTTGATAGGTTGACTGGAAGTTCACAATGAAGGGAATTTGGCATAGTTGCCTACTAATTACACAACAAAAATATGAATAATCCGGATTGTCCCAACTTTTCCCATACTCCATTCATCGTAACAAAGACCTCTAGAAGCGTTTTACTTTGCTAAACCTGGAGCCTTTTTATGACGGTCGGTTTTCCAAGTCTTTACGAATGGGGCGTTAATTTACCTTAGACGAATATCTACACCAGTTTCCCTTCTACTGTCTATCTTACAGGACTTCAACACAACTCAGATGAAAACACGTGATTAGCCTGACTAGGACGTAAATATATTTCCACACCAAAAACCGACACAGTTCAACAATAAAATAGGAGAATATATAACTCATCTATCTAAAAGTCTGAGTAAGCAAACAACCGATCATTATCATTCTCGCTCACACATCAAGACTTTGGACGAGTAATTTATCCAAGTTATTGGTAGGCAAAAGAGAACAAAGGGTCATTTGTTGTTGCGGTGTTACATCCATCATTTCAGTATGTAAGTCTGGTATAGCCACTGATTTTTTTCTCCGGGGTAGCCTCAAATCTTTATAATTTAAAACTTCGTATCGTCTGTGTTCATCTGCCACATCCATTAAACATGTTGTGGATACACTTGTCAATAGCACTGATGGCCGTCCCACGTGTTCCCAACATAGAATTTTGTGGGTTGTGACCAGTATTTACCATTGTTTCGAAATAGAGTGGAGATCACATCAAGGTGCCTTTGGACTAGACTTTCCTTCCACACTAGTATTTCCTAAAAAACACTTGATATCTTAATTTCGAATTTTCTTGAAAAGCTATTCCAGATGTTTTAAGTAACTTGGAGTCTTGTTCTAACCTAACGAATGATTTCTAGTGGCAATGTTTATTTTATCGAGTTGACGGTCAAAAAGACGTAAGTTATATTTCCTCAGATCAAAACCGTACTTGTTTACAACGAATGGTTGTCAGGGATAGACTATACCAAATACTTAACATTATTTTCTCACTGAGATAGGTAGACAAAAGTCGTAATTAAACGAATTTGTTTGACTTAACTTAATCCTGATGCAATCCACTTATTCGTCTGTCCTTATTTAACTTTGAAGGCTGCTGACAGGAATTTCCCTTTATTTTTTCCAAACTCTGTCCAACAAAAGTATAGAAGTATTCTAAACAATAGGTGATACGTAGTATATCGAGCTTTTTAGTTCATGAAGCGGCAATCAGTTTGGAAATGCACAGGCAATTGTTACGAGACAGTTCACAGGTGAATCCTTTGTTTTCAAGCTTAATTACATATCTACTCATGTTGGTATTGAATATTCAAATAGTTCGGGGTCATCACGATGTAGAGGTGAGATTAAGTGAATAACCATAGCTTAGTTCTGTTTGTATGTGTCAGAAACACAACATACTTTTCTGACTGTGAACTTCACGTCCGAACGGCTTGAATAACTAACATTTACTACACATTTAAAAAATGGAGGTGTGTAGATTAATCCTAATTCATTTTGTGTGGTCAGTTAGTATAATATCCCTCACCCTTAGCACGTGGGTCGTTTCTAAGTACCTGGTGGGTTGATGTGGTATAGACTAACGATGAGAATGATGTAAGGAACGAAGTGGGGAAGTGATGAGGTATGGAACGGGACTGTGACTTGATCACTTAGAAATAAAAACTTGATGTAAAGGATCAGGGTTGAGGTTCCACAAACCTGTGATCATGGTCGCAGAACCCAGCGGAATTTTTCGATGTTTGATTATTAAATCGACACAACAAACGCATTAAATTTAACATAGGCGACTAGTACTTTACTATTATGGTTGTTTTTTTTGTGACATACTTTGTACCATTCTTTGTTAGAAACAATACATATAATTAATATATAGCATTCCTAGACATTATCTGAACTCGTTATCGTTCACACGCAATAGTAACGTTTGTTGAACTTCAGTTTTTAATTCAAATACGGTGTTGTAATTATGTTACGAGGTAGAACCAAAGTGTTTGTTAAGTAATCTGGTTGTTCTGCAATATGTTTATTCGGCAGCAAACATGCATACGTTCTCAAGCCACAGAAAAGACAGTAAGACGGAGAACTTGCAAGTGACTTCTGAAATTAGATGCGACGGTTTACGCATTGCAATAGCTGATAAAATAAACATATTGAATTATTCTCAATATTCTTTTAACCAAAGAATAACAGTGTTTTATTTACAGACGTATGGATAAAAGTAAAAGTATCAAAGAATCACATAAAAGTCGGATCAAAAGTGGTCAGAAAACTGTCTATATCCTCTGATGCAGAAACCGTTCTTTCACCAGATGTCGGCAAGTTCTCTTGTTGAATTTTAGGTGGAACGTCAGCTTCTACAGCACCACAGCTAGCATTTGAACATATTTCGGTAACTTGTGCAACTGTGTGTGACTCCATTACTCGAAGGCGCTTGATGGGAGGTCTCTCTTGTTCGGGATTTAAAACCTTAGTTGAAGAGGAACATACTTTCGAAGTATATTCGACGACGTTACATTTTTCATGGGGTAGGACAAGCTTAGTTTGAGGAGTAAGTTGATTATTTGACAGACTGTTTCTATATATCTCTGAATCTTCGTGTCTAACGGAACTGCTGATATTTACACCACACAGCTGATGGTAATTACCTAATGCGATTAAACTTACCACACTGTCTGAATGTTTCGTGAGGTTGGCGAAGAATCTCCGAACAGTGACATGAAACGTTTGACTACCAGTAGACATGGCACATGCAAAAGAAGCTTTTGCTAAAGCAATTAACAGAGGTGGACTGACTAAATTCATGGTACTGATCTTTTCCTGCCGCTGAGTATGAGACACTCCATAACTAAGAATAACGTTTAAATGTGAGAGTAAGCTGGTCATACAGATTAGAAGACTGTTCACTTCGTTGTGAACAGGTGTTTGACTGGAGTGATTTTCTTTACTAGTCGTGCAACTTGAATCTATTACTTTGGAGAGTTCCATATAGCGCAGAACCCCTGGGTCCTTAAAAATATATTCTATCAGGAGCATGATCGCCAACAGCATACGCTTTTCAAACAGTCCAAGTGAAGTAACTTGAGATTTCGGATGGTCATTATCGAAAACAGCATTGGCGGATGTGATTGGATATGTACATTGACAAGTAGAAAGAAATCCTCGTAAATCATACACCAACTGTGAAAATATTCGTGGTATCATTTCCATAAAATATGCGTACGAAAATTTCAAACTCGCAGTGGTGAGATGGAGTAAACAAGAAAAAGCTGCCAAACGTAGGCGCACAAAATACTCCATATTTTTACTTTCAACTCGCCAGCTCGCAGTCCATTCTAAGTGGTATGTGAGAAGAGTTAACAAGCAAGGAACAGCGGGCATGATTACTGTACCAACAGCTTGACACATTGTATCCAAACATAACATGAGACGACTGGAACTTTTTAGCAGACTACTTGGTATATTCGCCACGTCCGTCAATCTTACTTCGAAAAAACCATTAAATATGGAAACAAACATAGGCAAGCAAAAAGTGATATGCATCGGATAATCACGCGTGAAGATATAACGTAAGCAATAAGCGAAAAAATCAACGCGCAT